CTGGGTAGGACACTGCACTGACCTAAGGCTCATATAGCCATTTCTATAGTCACCCTTCTATAACGTGTTCAGAAAATGGAGACATTTCACCTCTAATCATCAGTGACCAGATCTGCCCGGGGCTGAGGCCATGAGACAGTCTGCGGTAGATGTGTCAGTCCCAGACTATGGCACCAGACAGTGGATCAGAATTCCCTGGGCTTGAGGTGGGGTCTGCTGGGACCACACCTCCCCTTTCTGTGTCCCTTGAGGCGGAGCTCCTCACTGAAACCACAAGCTCCTCAGGCAGCACCCCTGACCCAACTTGATTTGCATACCCAGCAGCTCTCTCCAGCAAGGGGATAAGAGAAGCCTGGGAGGAAACCTGCCCAGTCTCAGGCCCAGAGAGCAGAACTGAGCTGCTTCTACCATGGCCTGGACCCCTCTCCTCCTTGGCCTCCTTGCTCACTGCACAGGTGCTGCATCCAGGCTCACACCCAACCTCTGCCTTAGCGCTCTGGATAGGCCAGGCACTGTCTTTGATCTCAGCAGGGAGCTGCCACTGGGGCAGGATGCTAATGACTCTGCTATAGGATGAGGGCCTGGGCGGGGCTGAAATACCCCACTGTGCTAGCTGGCTGTGTGTGAGCCCTGAAGGGCTGCACCTGCCAGAGCATGAAGGGCTTCTCATTGCAGAAGCTCCACCCTGCAGTCAGGCCCAAGGGCTGTTGGGGTTAGGATAGACAGAGATATTAGGGCATCTTGTGGGCTCAATGAAACTCGGGAGCTCATCCAGGCCAGGCAGAATGTGTCATCTGGAGATGAGGCTCAGCTCTGGAAGCCCACCTCTCCTTTTCTCTCTTGCAGGCTCCGTGGCGTCCTATGAGCTGACTCAGCCACCCTCACTGTCCGTGGCTCCGGGACAGACAGCAAGGATCACCTGTGAAGGAAACAATATTGGTAATAAATACTCTCACTGGTACCAGCAGAAGCCAGGCCAGGCCCCTGTGCTGGTCATCTATAGGGATAGCAATCGGCCCTCAGGGATCCCTGACCGATTCTCAGGCTCCAACTCAGGGAACACAGCCACCCTGACCATCAGCGGGGTCCAGGCCGAGGACGAGGCTGACTATTACCTTCAGGTTAATGCTCACAGTGACACAAGCAGATGGGGAAGTGAGACACAAACCCCCTTCCCAGTCTGTGTCACACTATCCTCTCCTCTGGGCAGAACTGCAGACAAAGCCGTGAACAGGTCTGGCCCAGGTCCCTCGATCTGAGATTCCAGTCTACCCCTTCCCTCTCCGCCCTCAGCCTTCCCTTCTGAAGGTGGACCAGGAGTAGATTCAGGGCTGGCGGGACAAGGCTGTCCTGGTGTTGTCAGGGTCTGGGTGTGAATTGGGCACAGAGGGCCTGGTTGAAGAAGAATCAGAGGAAGACATTTGTCCAGTGGTCAACATCCTGATATTTCCATATGGTGGTCAGGACCTTCCTTCACTCAACTAATCAGGATCACACCCTACAATTGCCCAGCTCAGCTGAGCTCCCGAGGCCCCAGGTTCTCACGACAGCCTGAGATACTGAGTGGAGCAGAA